TCTAGTCATAAAAGTACAATATCATCAATAAATGAAAACAAAATCCTGAATTCAAAACTTAAAAAAAAAAAGCATTCCAGAAACTGGAATTGTCATCATATTCACCCATATTCAATCAATTTATGTTTAATTACCCTTTGATGTATCTGTTGTGAGTCTGATTTAAGAATACATGCAAAAAGATCCAAATCAACAGGCTGTGGAGAATACAGTAAAAACCAACATAAAACCCAACATAAAACCTGTTTTCAAAACCAGGAGGCTAAGTCTGCCTGTTATTTGACATCAAAATGTGACTTCTTCAAGATAATTAGGAAAAGTTCAATATATGAAACTATGCAAAAAGGGAAGCGTAGGCTTTTGCATTTGTCTTTCCAAACATTTACAAAAGTACCCCGATGAATAGTTTGTTTTCCAGTACTGAGTAGCTATGCATTAGATAGCAATAATAAGTTGGCAGCTACAGGGTGAAGATATTTTTCTTTTAAGAAAAACATATTTGACACATACCCATAAGGAAGATCAGATCTTCTTGGAACCAGTTCTACGGCATGAACATGTTCATGCCCCTCTCCATTCTCCAAGTTATCTAAAGTATAATGCACAAACATTAGCTTTCTTCAGTTAACAGTACTTAAAAACTAAACTAAACTAAAAACCAGAAGGACGGTAGTTACATTTTTAACTAGAAATACTCATCTTCACTAAAGCTTTTAAACACTTTAAATTCTTTCTCGAATGTTGGCTTCTGCACATTCACCCTGAATGCCAACAGGATTGTAAAGTCTCTTAGGAACACAGCCATGAGTTTAGAAAAGAATTAGTATTGCACAATTCCTAAATTATAATTTTACATTGATAACAATGTTGCAAAGCTATGAAGAGACTTCTTATTGAAGTTATTTTTGCAAGCCCCAGGAGTTTAACAACCACACGGCATCTGATACTCATTACAAATCTGTTTGTGACTTGCAGGAAAAGAATTTGTGGTTAGTCCCCAGTACGTGAAACCTTGTAAGGACACCAGTCCTTTATGCATTCCCAACAGAGCACCATGGCTTTTCTCTGGCTCCTTATGCATTTGTACCAAACATCAGGAATCAGACAGATGAGACATTTTTTAAAAAGCGTGGACAATATGCATCTGTCCACAGATCCACAACTGTCAGGATCAAAATACACACATCACTGGGCCTGTCATTAAAGTAGCTCAGGTGGAAAGAAACAAAAATCACATTTTATTGATGTTTTCTGCATCTTACTATGTAAGGGTTACAAAGTTACCATAAAACAATCCTAAAATCATGAGCTAAAATAGCACAGAATTTGAAACACAGGAATTCTAGGGAAAAAAAAGGAAATTAGAGTTATGTCAGAATGACTATGGAGGAGAAAGTTCATTTTTTAAGCTGCAGAGTTTACTGAAGCTCAGTTCCTAAAATGCACACTCCATTTTTGGTCCAAGCAACTGAATTTTGACTCAGGCTTTCTCATCTCTAGGTACATGGAGATATGAGATGCCCTGACACATCCCTGAAGCACTGCAACAGACTAAAACTGAAAGCACTGATATTAGCATACAACACTATAGATTATGCTGTAATCTATTTCAAATATATATGTCTTGTTAATTATCTGTATTCAGACCTATAAACCAAAATATTGGGTTAAACTACATTGCAAGAGCTCATTAAGCATGTTTTAGCAAAAATCTTGTCATAATAATAATGAGCTTGCCAGTTACTGGGCTGCACTGCTCTGAGAAAAAGCTAACCCACGTTCCCTCCGATATCATTCACCTAGCAAGAGCGTAGCTTCCAAAGTCAAGCTAACAACTGCCTCAGGCAGCTTTCAATCTCATCACATTGTCATTACGGCTGGGGAGGGGGTGACTGTACCCACGTGTATCACTCTCCCTAGCTGCTGACATTTGGCTTGCGTGCCTTTTAGCAAAGACTGCCTGTATGTTCCGTCAGTTCAGGACTGTTCGGAAGGGCCCAGCGACAGCATGGAAAGTTGAAATCAGGAAATCAGAGAGCAGAATCCGTGTTGTTGTTTCCTACAACTGATAAAGATTCCTTTTACCAGCCTAATGCGGTATCGTTCTGGCTTGCATGTTCCTGTACACATACTCCAGATGTCAATCTGTTGCAGTCAGCAAACACTTACAAATATATGGACTTTTTCTAACAGTTTCTGTATAAAATTTAAGATAATACTATGCCACAAACTACACAATGTTTTCTAAATCCATTCCTTCATAAATTGAAAAATGTGGCGGCATAAGAAAAAAAATGAATATGTACTTTCTATTTTTTTTGAACCACTGGCATTTCTTAAGAGGTAGATGTCTTAAGATACAGCAGAGGGCAGTACAGCATTATTTTATGATTCACATTATTTTTATCACCAAACTTACAGAACTGAATTACACATTTTCACAGGCCTTCAATTAATGGTCCATTTAAACTCTTGGCACATATAACGTATATGCAAAAAATATCAAATTTTCTACAATTAAAACATTATCTGAATGCCACTGAGAAGTTTTTAAGAGGTCACTGAAATGAGAATACATACCCAAACTTTTATAAAAGCAATGTTTTATAAACAGCTAGCAAAATATTAACTTGGTGGGGAAGGGAGTGGTGGGTGGTGGAAGTTTTTGTTTGTTTTTGATACCAATACAGATACTGCAAAAGCCCCAGGTCTTCTTTTCCATACCTTTGACCATTTTCATTGCTTGCTTCAAGATCTTCTCCAAATGGCCCACATCATTCTTTAAGCGCAGTACCCCAAACTGCATACAGTACTGCAGTTGAGGCCCCATCAAAGCCAACTGAGCACAAATTTACTAATTTTTTTTCATTTATGCATGTCCGTATGAAGTGTGCTTTTACTGCAGAAGCACAGCACTGCTAATTCACTATCAGCTTGTTACCCACTACAGTGGGTGTCCTGCAGAAAATGACTTGAGGATACTGGTGGATGAAAAATTAGATATGAGCCGGCAAATGGTGCTTGCAGCCCAGAAAGCCAATCTTATCCTGGGCTGCATAAAATGAAGCATGGCAAGCAGGTTGAGGGAGGTGATTCTTCCCCTCTATTCCGCTTTCATGAGACCCCACCTTGAGTGCTGTATCCAGCTCTGGGGTCCTGTGGTGGTGCATTTCGCCCCCCCTCTCCTGGACCACTTTACGATCTCAGTAATTCCCGTCAAGACTTCGCCTTTGTGCAATGAGTTTGGAGGTTAAGCGTCCCTTGACCGTACCAGGAACTCTTGCATGGCTAAGGTGGGAGTAGCACTGACTTTACCAGGAATCATCAGTCACCCCCTGACAGCCTTGGAACATATCTTATCTGGGTTGTAACTCGCGCGGATCGGTACAGGTGGATCTGTACCAGCATCACTGGAATTTTTGAGAACTCCAGTAATTACCAAACTGGATTGTGGCCAGGATGGAAATTCACTGATGCCTAAAGTCAATCATCTCGCGACCCTACAAAACAGCAGTACCAAGTGAGACCCTCTGAGCTCTCCTGGACCGCAGCAGGCTGCACCCAGTATCTCCCTCTGAGTGGGACGCCTCTCAGAGTTTGCGAACTCTTAAGTTTGAAAGTTAAGAGGCCTGGCGACAGGACCTGGGCTGAACTCCAGGCCC